AGAAAGATTAAATATACCCCTATATGAATCATTTTTTTTTAATCCATGAGAATAATTTGTGATTTACATTTTAAAGCATACGTGCTTTTGTGACTTGCAACCCAACTCACCCATTTGATTAGGCCCTATCCTCATTGTTTATTATGCGCAAACACTAGCCAAGATAAATTTCAAGAGGAAAAACACAGCTACATTAAACTAGGCAATGATGCAGCAGCTAAGTATTAAGTTCAAAATGTTTGCTGGAAACAAAAACTCTTTGTACAAAAACGCATGCACACTGTGCAAGAAAGGCCTCTGCTGTCAAATTTTAGACACATCTAAGAGAAGTCTACTCCAATATACCATCTAGACAAGTTCCATGTCATTGTTTCATCCAAGAATCTGAAACATAGGAGACGGTAAAGAGTCAGTTTTGGCACACATTTCCTCCAATCCTTGTGAAATGGAGAAGCAACTCGTTACAAACAGCCACGAAAAAGAGATTTTAAGTGAAAACAAGAACTATTAAGATGAGCAGGTATTGCTAAGGACATGTTTAGAGCCTAGGAGGCACTGTTTTATGTAAGATTCAAGGCATAACAGTCTTTTTCTTAAATTACAAATGTTTCAAGGAATTATCCTTTGCTGTGAAGCAAAAGTAACAATAAGTGTGAATATATATATGTATAGATTTATCTTTACTATCTAAAGTATAAAATCAAACCAATATACGATTATTATTAAGAAACTTAGATTGAATTTACTTAGAATTGTTCCTAGAGAGTTCAAATTACAAACAACAGTAGAAAACCAAAAAAAGAAGAAGATAAAAGGTAAATAGGATGTTGTAAAAGCAGCATTCTGCAATCTTTTATGAACAAAAAGTGACTTACCTTGAATTTTCCAGCTTTGTGCAACCAGAGTCTCCAACGGCATCAATGTCCACAACGTTCCAATCTGTACTCTGAAAATGAAATAGGAAAAACAAAATAATGTTGAAGACTGCAAACATAATTTGGAGAAGTGTCTACTATCAACAGAACCCAAAATGAAATCTGTCTTGCATCAAAGAATCCCGTGTCAGTCGGGACGTACATTTTGTCTTTGTATCACAGTGACCTACTAGCTCCATCTAATGAATAGCAGATAGCTCATTAACAGAATTCATTGGCTCGGTCCACAGACACCCTTTACTACCTTAGTCAAAGTACTTGAGTTGATAAACTTGTTAAAAGAATTCTAATTGAAAGTTCACCTAACGTAATTGCCACCCATAGATTTTGACTTGAAATGCCACAACAACGTTCTAGTATGACCTTGGAACTAATAACCAATGAGAAAAAAATACATAAATATTCATGATTAAACCATATCTTAAAAGTTATATAGATATTCATAAATTTGTTTCAAGTGAAATAGAAAAATGTTTGGAAAACTATAAAAGGAGAATGGAGGAGAGTAACTCATGGAAAATAATAATTTAAAATGTTACTCAGAAACTGAAAGAGAAACAGAAACTTACATAGGAATTAAGCTTCCACCTACTTCGATTTTTGGAATATGGGAAATGTTGGTTGGACCAGTACTGGGAGTTTGGGGTAATCCGATTGGTGCAACTTTCTACTAACTTTGGGGCAGCCTTTAATTTCCAGGTTCCGTGATTTGGTGAGGGCAGAGAATCCCAGTGCAAACGTCCGAACACCACCAGATCACAAAGGGACAACAGCTGCATCAAAGAAACGGGGAAACTACGTTTAGTTGAACACTACATAATTTGCATAAGTAGTTGAAGTATCAAAAGAGGATATATTTATCATTTGATGCATTCTTTAGCAGATAACTTAAAATATGAGGTGCTTGATGGGCTGTTCCTCCCTTAACCAGATGTCTCGGGTTTGAGCCTTGGGTATTGAAAAATCCTTGGTGGGGAGTGCTTTACCTCGAATTGGGCCCTACACAGCACGAATTTGGAATAGTCTACTTCCTATGCTTGATAAAAGTATAGAGAGACATCACTTTAAAACTTTTTGTTGCACATGTTTTAAAAACACACAAATAGTTTCACTTAATAATTGTTGGTATCCCCCATTATGAAGAGTAAAATGTTGACAGATATGTTATCGTTACTAATTATTCATGAAAGTGTCCCGTATTGTCTACCGCTGAAGATTTTGTTCTTCAACAAAAAACAAATGTGGTGGTGGAACATAACCAACCCTGTTTAAACAGTACGTATTGCGTCATGAGAAAAAGTAGTGAAAAAAAAAAGCGCATTCCTCTGACAGGTCTAAATGAAAATTTACCTAAGGTAATTGCCTGCCACTTGTGGATTTTGACTTGATTTACCACAGTGATGTTCAACTAAGTTCAAGCATGACCTTGGAACTAGCAACCTACAAGGAAAAAAAAACATAAAATCTCATGAATAAACCATATCTTAGAAGTAATATAGAGATATCGTACTTGAAGAATTAGAAGAAGAACAATTTGTTTCAAGTGAACTAGCAGAATGCTGAAAGCATAGATAAGATGCAATTGTCTAATAATATTGCATTTTTTATGTCAAAACAATTGCAGGATAAATTGTAGTATTAAATTACATACAGAACATCTTTTCAAGAACTCATAGAAAATAGTAATTAAAAATGTGACTCGGACACGGAAAGAGAAACAAAGACTTACGGAAGTCCTGAATTATGCTTCGACCAACTTTAACTTTAGGAATATGGGAAATGTTGGACCACTGGGAGTTTGGGCCACTCCGATTGTTGCAACTTTCTTCTAACTTTGGGCAGCCTTTAATGTTCAGGCTCTGTAATTTCGTGAGGTGTCGCATGGCATTTCGGGATGGCAGATGCTCTAGTTTTTCGCAGTTACATAAATCTAACTCTTCCAAAGAAACATGGTTGCCAAGCCCATCCGACAGAGATTCTAACAATGGACAATCGCGGATGTCCACCAACCGTAATTTGGGCATGGCATCTGAGAAGTCCAGATGTTGTAGCCGTTTGCACCTCACTAGATGTAATGTTTCAAGAGAAATAAGGTTGTCAAGTCTATGAGGAAGAGCCTCGATTCCGAAATCACATATATGGATATGTATTAGGGAAGAGAGTTGCATAAACTGATACGGCACAGAATTCCAGTGCCCAAGTCCAGTCACCGCCAGATTACGAAGGGACAACAGCTGCTGAATGCCATTAAAAATCAATTGGAATGCTTCAAAATCCACCATCTCTGGGAAAGGACCAATTTCCAATACCCTTAACCTGGTGAGACGGTGAAGGCCCCCTGCGGGTATACTAATGAATTTGGGACAATCTGATAAACCCAAATAAAAGAGTGAAGGCATTTCCCACACATGTAAAGGCAAGGAAATTAAGTTGTTACAGCAGCTGACCATCAAAAATCCCAGAGACCAACAATGCTCTAGCATTCCACTTGGTAAACTGGCCAATCCATCACAATCCCATAACTCAAGAGTTTGGAGAGAAGTCAAATAATTCTCTCCACTAGGAACAGGAAAAGAACTGAAATTGGGGCAGAAGTGTATTTGTAAGCTCTTGAGAGAATGGAGATTGTACAAGCTTTGTGGCAAGTTACGAAACTCTCTGCAGCCTGAGACTGTTAGGTTTTGAAGAGAAACGTTGTTGCGTAGCATCTCATCTGGAAAACAAGTGAGCTCTTTCACACCAATGATACTAAGCTTTACGAGAGATGTCAAGTTGCTGCACAAATTCAACAATGGCATTTCACTGTCAACTCCTTCAATACTTAATTTATGGAGGATTTCAAATTGACTTGGAGTACTTTTTAACAATGGACAGTTACTAATGCTCAACTTCTCAAGCTCAGGAAACAATCTTACCCCAATTTCATCTCCCTTCCACTCAATAAGACTAGACATATCCTCCAATATTAGTTCTTTCAGTGACGGGAACACTTGGATATTGCTGCTTGATCCATTATTGTTACCATCAATACCATAAAATCTAGGCCCGATGCTTTCCACCTCGTGGAATCCTAACAGCTCAAGATGCCGAAGCAATTTCAGTTGACCAAGTGATGGAATTTCTTTGCATCTTTTGCAACCACTTAATTTCAACTTGACCAAATTTGGTAGCAAATTTTCACGGAACCATGAAGGAAATTTAGTCCCTAAATAGTCCACTACTGCTAAGGTTTTCAAGTTAGGATGAGGTTGAAGACCATCCAAGACATACTCATCATTGGTCTCACTTCCTTCTGGTTCGTCATGGAACCACACATATGCCAGCTTGTAGATATTCGATTTCTCTTGTAAATATGCTGTTCGAGCTTCTTCTCTATCACCGACCAATTCTAGCCCATTAATCGTCAATTCACCTCTTAGGTTTTTCAAATGACTTAATTCTTCTATTTGACGACCTTTCTCTAAACCTACCTTGAAAAACTGGAGGGTTTGAAGACAGGTCAATTGTCGCATCTTAGGTGGCATCTGAAAATGTTTTTTATCAATACACTGAAAACTGCAATAAATGTGCCTCAAACTTGTCATATTTCCCATCTCATATGGAAGTTCCTTGAGTGAATCACAGTCATTGATTCTAAATGTTTGCAAATTATAGAGCTCGCAAATAGAATTGGGCAAGGTGGTGATCTTAGTGTTCGAGAGATCAAGATACCTCAAGTATATTAGCTTCCCGATTTTGGCTGACAACTCGTTGATTCCTGAACTGGACAAATTTAAAACTTTCAAGAACTTAAAGCTCAACAACATATCTTCCGATATATAATTGCTTCTCCAAAACAGTGTGCACAAACGTTCTGGCTCATTTATCTTATCTATTTTATCCCTTGGTGACTCACATCCAAAGTATCGAACTTGAGAAAGTTTTTCTCCATCATCTCCCTTCGGATCAAATACTTTAGATTTAAAGATATCTCCAGCCAAATCATGTACAAGATCGTGCATCTTACAGTGTGTTATATTGTTGTGCTCATCTAACACAACATCTTGCAACAAGATTTGAAAAAACCTGTGCCCAACGTCTTCCATCACAGTGGTCTCTTGACATGGACGGAGAAAGCCTTCTGCCATCCAGAGTTGGATAAGTTGTTCCTTTTCAAACTCAAAATCTTTTGGAAATATTGCAAAGTAAGCAAAGCATTTTTTCAGTTGTGGAGATGGTAGATAAACATAGCTGAGTTTTAGGATTTTCTTTATGCTATTTTCTCCATTATCATGATCTTTACCTGCAACAAGGGGGTTGCCATCAAGAATTGCTTGCCATTCATGTGTTTCCTTGCTGTGTAAGAGGCCTCCCAACACACTTGCAGCCAACGGTAGACCTTGACACATTTTAACAATCTTGTTGCCCATGCTCACCAATTCTTCTGGAACCCTGCCATCAACAAATGCTTTTTGTTTGAAAATAGACCAACAATGATCCTCCGTTAACTTTCCCAAGATATGAAGATCTGTTGCTACTATGGATGCCACCCGCTTCATACGAGTAGTCACAAGAATGCAGTTTCCTCTGGATGTATTTATTCCTCTCAAGGTGTCAACGAACTCATGCCACGATGTAGAGTCAACACACCACAAATCATCCAGGACTAGCAAATAGTTTTTTCCTCCCAATTCATCTTGTAGCTTCTTAACTATTATATCTCTCCTTTGAACCTCAATTTTCCTCTCTGTCAATGATTCGAGGATTTGTTCAAGAAAGCTCTTCGTTTCAGACATTTCAGGTAGACACAACCAAATTCTCTTTTCAAAAATTTGCTTGATGTGTTCATCATTGTAAATCCTCTTAGCCACAGTTGTTTTCCCTAAACCCCCCATACCCACAATGGGAATGGTGCACAGAACAACATCCTCCTCTCTCATCTTCAAAATCTTCTCCTTTATATCATCAACATCGTTGTCTCTACTTGAGACTTTTCAATTTACTAAGATTTAGAACTAACTTACTTTAAAATCTCAAATGACATACAATCAGATTCTCCAAAAGCACCACTAATGCAAATTGAATAGAAGTCAAGTTTCGGTCAGCTTTTTCCTCTACACATTTCACCTCCTCTTGCGCAAAAAGAAACTGTAATATACCAGATATGACAAGCTAATGTTATGCCAGTCAAATACTTGTCTATACTTGAAGAGAATGAACAGTTATCTTATTCAAGAACCATACCACTTAATAACTTCCATTATACTATGTAATGAAGAGTACCACATTCGAGGATTAAGTGATAAACTCTTTATTGAAGGATAAACGTGCAAAACAAACGAAACGTTTGAATAATTTGAGATATATTCATACAGAACTTCTTTTCTAGAATTCGTAGAAAATAAAATTTAAAAATGTGACTTATGCAAGTCCTGAATTATGCTTCCACCTACTTTAACTTTTGGAATATGGGAAATGTTGGACCACTGGGTGTTTGGGCCACTCCGATTGTTGCACCTTTCTTCTAACTTTGGGCAGCCTTTAATTTTTAGGTACCATAATTTAGTGAGGCCTCGCATGGCATCTCTGGATGGCAGATGCTCTAGTTTTTCGCAGTTCTCTAATCTTAACTGTTGCAAAGTAACAAGGTTGCCAAGCCCATCCGACAGAGCTTCTAACAATGGACAACCACAGATCGTTACATACTGTAATTTGGGCATGGCATCTGAGAAGTCCACATGTTGCAGCCGTTTGCACCTCACTAAATGTAATACTTCAAGAGAAGTAAGATTGTCAAGTCTATGAGGAAGAGCCTCGATTCCGAAATCACATAGATGGATATGTTTTAAGGCAGAGAGTTGTATAAGCTGATAAGGCAGAGAATCCCAGTGCAAATGTCCGAACACAAGCAGAGTATGAAGGGACAACAGCTGCTGAATGCCATTAAAAGTCAATTGGAATGCCTCAAAATCCACCATATCTGAGAAAGGACCAATTTCCAATGCCCTTAACCTGGTGAGATGGTGAAGGCCCCCTGTGGGTACACTATCCAATTTGGGACATTGTGATATAGAAAAATAGAAAAGTGAAGGGATTTCCCCCACATGTAAAGGGAAGGAAACTAAGTTGTTACAATAGTTGACCCTCAAATTCTGTAGAGACCGGCATTTCTCTAGCATTCCACTTGGTAAACTGGCCAATCCACCACAACTCCATAGCTGAAGATTTTGTAGGGAAGTCAAATGATTCTCTCCACTGGGAACAGGAAAGGAACTGAAATTGGTGCAGCACTGAATGACTAAGCTCTTAAGAGAATGCAAATTGTACAAGCTCTGTGGCAATTCACTAAAACTCTCTGCAGTTTGAGACCGATAAGTGTTGAAGAGAAACGTTGTTGCGTAGCATCTCATCTGGAAAACAAGTGAGCACTTCCACAATAGAGACACTAAGCTTTACGAGCGATGTCAAGTTGTAGCACAAATTCAATAGTGGCATTTCACTGTCAACTACTTTAATGCTCAATTCGCATAGGATTTCAAATTGCTTCGGAGTACTTTTTAACAATGGACAGTAGCTAATCCTAAACTTCTCAAGCCCAGGAAACATTCTTACCCCACTTGTTGTTGGTATCGATTCCACTCCCTTCCACTCAATAAGGCTACGCATATTCTCCAATACTAGTTCTTTTAATGATGGGAACACTTGGATAATGGCATTATTGCTGCTTGATCCCATATTGTTAACCTCAATACCATAAAATGTAGTTCCAATGCATTCCAGCTTATGGAACCCTACCAGTTCAAGATGCCGAAGGAATTTCAGTTGGCCAAGAGATGGAATTTCTTTGCAATTTCTGCAATTACTTAATTTCAACTTGACCAAATTTGGTAGCGACTCTTCATTGAACCATGAAGGAAATCTAGTACCCAAATATCTCACCACTTCAAATGTTTTCAAGTTAGGATGTGGTTGAAGACCATCCAACACATGCTCAGCATTAATCTCACATCCTTCTGATTCCTGATGGGACCATATATATGTCAGCTTGTAAATATTTGATTTCTCTTGTAAATATGCTGTTAGAGCTTCTTCTCTGCTACGGACCAATTCCAGCTCATTGATACTCAATTCACCTCTAAGGTTCTTCAAATGACCTAATTCTTCTATTCGATGACCTTTTTCCAAACCCACATTGAAATATTGTAGGGTCTGAAGACAAGTCAATTGTCCCAGGTTAAGTGGCATCTGAGACGAAGAATAAAAATATATGTGTCTCAAACTTATCATATTTCCCATCTCATATGGAAATTCCTTGAGTGAATAGCAGTAATTGACTCTAAATGTTTGCAAATTGTAGAGCTTGCAAATGGAGTCGGACAAGGCTGTGATCTCAGTGCTCGAGATATCTAGATATCTCAAGTATATTAGCTTCCCGATTGAGGCTGACAACTCCTTGATTCCTGATCTAGACAAATTTAAAACTCTCAAGAACTTGAAGTTCACAGCATATCTTCCGATATATATTTGCTTCTCCAGAACAGTGTGCACAAACATCCTGGCTCATTTATCTTATCTATTTGATCACTTGGTAAGTCCCACCCAAAGTATCGAACTTGAGAAAGTTTTTCTCCATCATTGCCCTTCGGATCAAATAGTTTAGATTTGAAGATATCTCCAGCCAAATCATGCACAAGATCGTGCATCTTACAGTATTTTATATTGTTATGCTCATCTAACACAACATCTTGCAGCAAGGAATTTCTCAACAAGATTTGAAAGAAGTTGTTCCCGATGTCTTCCATCACGGTGGTCTCTTGACATGGATGAAGAAAGCCTTCTGCCATCCAGAGTTGGATTAGTTGGGCCTTTTCAAACATAAGATCTTTTGGTAACATTGCAAAGTAAGCAAAGCATTTTTTTAGATGTGGAGATGGTAGATAATCATAGCTGAGTTTTAGGATTTTCTTTATGCTATTTTCTCCATTATCATCTTCACCTGCAACAATGGGGTTGCCATCAAGAATTGTTTGCCATTCATGTTTTTCCTTGTTGTGTAATAGGCCTCCCAACACACTTGCAGCCAACGGTAGACCTTGACACATTTTAACAATCTTGTTGCCCATGCTCGCTAATTCTTCTGGAACCCTGCCATCAACAAATGTTTTTTCTTTGAAAATAGACCAACAATGATCTTCTGTTAACTTTCCCAACATATGAAGATCTGCTGCTACTGTGGATGCCACTCTCTTCATACGAGTAGTCACAAGAATGCAGTTTCCTTTGGCTGTATTTATTCCTCTCAACGTGTCCACGAACTCATGCCACGATGTAGAGTCAACACACCACAAATCATCCAGGACTAGCAAATAGTTGTTTCCTCCCAATTTATCTTGTAGCTTCTTGACTATTATATCTCTCCTTTGAACCTCAACTTTCCTCTCTGTCAATGATTCAAGGATTTGTTCAAGAAAGCTCTTTGTTTCAGACATTTCAGGTAGACACAACCAAATTCTCCTTTCAAAGATTTGCTTGATGTGTTCATCATTGTAAATCCTCTTAGCCACAGTTGTTTTCCCTAAACCCTCCATACCCACTATGGGAATGGTGCACATAACAACATCCTCCTCTCTCATCTTCAAAATTTTATCCTTTATCTCAGCAACATCCAAATCTCTACCAACAACATCTGTAGCAACTACTATGGAATCTGTTTCTCGAATCGGTAGTATTTTCCGAGAATGAACCATGAGTGAGTGGAGACCAAGGTCTTTGGCTACCTTGTTAATAGCGGACTCTTTATTAATACTGTTGATTTTTCGAGACATTTTGCTCTTGAAAGCAGTATGAGAAAAGAAACCACTGACCTTTTTCATTGGGCTGTTTCGGATGTTCATCACTTTTGTTTTGAGAGATTCATATCTGAATCGTTCAAACACATTTTCAGCATTTTCAGTAACTCTCTCAAGCCTCCTGAGCCATTGTTCGACAGACTGTTGTTTCTCAACTTGTGGTGTTTCAACATCATGAAGGAAAGCTTGGATTAAGGATACATTTTGTGTGAACATTTCCAGATCTTCGTTGAAATCCCTTGAGCTGTTGATCTCCTTGATAGTTAGAGAAAGCAGTTTGTCAAGCAAAACTTTAACAGTAGCAGAAAATACAGGAT